GGCGGCCGAATTTTTCGACGAAGGAATTTCCAAGCTCGTACATCGCGACGATAAATGCCTTAATTTGTATGGTGACTATGTAGAAAAGTAGTATTTGAGTGTGGCTTTCATCTGTATATAATAAAATTTGTTTCCTATACTTTGTTTATTTTTTATTCCAAAACGTAATCTACTTTCTGGATAGCCCTCGTATCAACATACATTCTTTTTGGCAATTCATTTGTCTCCTGTGCATGGCACTTTTCCATAGTGCTTTAAAACCATTTCTTGGTGATGCAAGCACATAGTGAAATTTTATGATTTTCTTTTTCACCATAAGTAATTAACAGTTTTCTTTTGTAAAATGTCAAAATATTACCTGAGTGACAAAACACTAATGAAAATACTTCTAAGAGAAAATGATTCTTACATTCAGCCAAAAATTTAATGCTATCTATGTAATTTTTCCTATTAATTTAATCTATAGACTCATCATGGCCTCTAAATGGTAGCACTTCTTTTCCCAAGAAGTATGCACAATTTACCAATCATTTTAAAATTTCCCTGTTTCTTTTATTGCAACCTCATTACGAAGCTTTATAGATATCTGCTTCTGTTGATTTAACTGTTCTTGATCACTCATATGTGGCAGGTTTAATAACTTGACACATTTGGGTGATCCAGAATTGAAAAAGAGATTTTGTCATCTCATGTCCATCTCAATATATAAAAAAAGAGATTTTTCATATTCTGAAATGTATACTGATAATACATCCAAATTACAAAATCTATGCTTAGTCTATACACTTGTTTTGTCAACACCAAACAGACAAAGCCAGCAACCTTTCTTTAACACCACAACCAGCTAGGAAAAGTCTTATGAATTCTTGTTTTTTATTCCACAAATACATTTTTTTAATCCCACATAAAGTGGTTTAAGAAGGGCAAGATCTATCATTTTTTGTTATTTCTTTTTTTCTCAAAGAAAAGTTAAAGGCAAAGTAATTTTTGAATTAGACTTTATGTTATATATTCCATTTCTTTTGCACTGTTCTTGAAATGTTTTTTAGAAAAAAATTAATCATTATAAGAAAAATTCAAAGAGGCCCAGAAATAAAAAATTAACCAGACTTAAATCAAATATTTATTCAGGGTTGCCACTCAAACAGGAGAATGAAATTCCCTGACTTTTCCAGGTTTTCCAGGTGTGTTTCAAGAAAATTTCAGTCTATCCGCGTAATGTACATTGACTACGCTAAGAGGTAAATTATGGTATTACTTGTATTGTGTAGCAAATTCACTTAATTATTCAATAAATCCCAGAGGACATTTATTCTTAATTATTCTTGGTATACTTTGTTTGATAATTTGTTTACTTTTCCACTTAAGAAAACTTAATAAAATTTAAGATATATACATTGGATAACAATGTATGTTTTATTTAATTATTACTCATGATCATCACCAGTTCAACACGAGGCTAATCTGGTCCTTATAAATCACAACGCAATGCTAAATAGTTAGGTTAGATTTTAGGTAAATTTAATTTTGTGTGAGGTATGTTCTTAAAAAGCACCTTAACACTGGAAAACACAAATATAATTATAATAGTTGTTGTTTTCTCCATTGAAGATTGAGATTAGAATCTTCCCAATCTGGATAAAATAAGGCTTTTTTTGCAAACATTCTGCAGCTAACGAAACAAAGAAATCTATTTTAATAAATTGAGGTATTTTATATTTAGTTCGCGCACATACATAAGAAAAAAAAAATATGTGCATTAAATTTCGTGATGGTATGTCATCATACTGCTAGAATTAATTTCAAGATTATGCCAGAGAAAATTTCCTGAAATTTAGAAATATTATTTACTAATAATTAATAAATTTAGAGGGAAGAAGCATCATTAAATTATATGAATAACAAAAATAAAGATAATTACTTAAAAATTGAATTAGAATAGTCAACGATATTTTAGCGAATATAGTTATATTACATGGTTAGCCTAGATGACAGATTACTATTTTTATTTTACTGCAAAATGGCAAGGTATTATTAAAAAGAAAGTTTTAAAAGATTTTGCAGTAAAATTCTAGTATACGGTAAGGCTTTGGCACGATTTTGAAAATTGTCGCCAAGACCAAAATGACCCGTTTACTGCGCATCATCATGTCGCCAAATCCATACATGGAGATTATTTTAACTAAAAAACATCTATGCAAGAATCTCTAATTCTTTGGTCTATGTAAAGAAGAAAATTTTCCATACAAGTAAAATGCTATTATGGCGCTAGAATGCGGAGGGAAAATTTGCCAAGGGATTTGGCGACGGAACCTGGCGGCCAGAATTTCCCTCTCCGCGATGTGTACCGGAAATTGAGAAACGTGTTAAGAAGAAACATTCTTTGACAAAAAGGAAGCTACGAAAATCCGTTTTTAAATTATTGCGAAAAATCCAAGAAGAAACGTTTTATCATAGGACGTTTCTTCTTGGATTTTTCCAAGAAGAAAATTTTAAAAACGGATTTTCGTAGTTCCCCCCCCCTGAAAATTACTAACCTATGAATTAATTTACTTGCGCCAAAAAATATTTTCTTGTGCCGTGCGCTACAATATAGCAGTGGTAAAGTGTCTCATTTACGCCGCTCCGCATCTGCGAGTGCAATCCAGAGCTGTAACTCGAGAAATAAAACAATCTCGTTGTTAGGCGACGGGGCACATGTTATTTTCATTTTTGCGATAAATGCTTATCGACGTGGTGTTCACGTCGCTCGCAGTTTGAGACAAAAATCTCGACGTGTGTGGCACGTCTTTTTAGCGCAAGTGGTTAAAGAATTTTAAAGGATATTCATTTAATGAACTCTTGATAACGTGACCTTCGAACTTCGACACCGGTTTCCGCTTTGGCGGCAGATATATCAGCATGCACAGCTGTTTCCCTCTAGATGGAACGGAGCCACGTCTGTTGCAGAGAGGTTTTCCTTCTTTACATACATATTCTTTGATTCTAACCTCCATGGTACCGTATACTAAGATTAAACCCATTTTGTTTTATACGAGACAGGTACTTTCTTTAGTTCATGCACTGCACATGCGATTCTCGAGAATACTCGAAACCAAAGTTGCGGGAAACTGGCTGCTTTGCCTTTCTAAAAGGCAATCAAATTGGAGCTGCGAAATTGGCTCTATGCCAGCAGACACTCACGTGATAGGCAATTCGCCAAAAAAGTTATCTCTTCCGACGTCGGCGCAAAAATCGCTTTTTTTGGCGGGATCATTGTATGAACTTCCCTGACTTTTCCAGATTTTGACAAAAATACTTAAATTCCCTGACTTTTCCCTGAATTTTTTGGTCAATTTTCGAATTCCCTGACTTTTCCCGGTTCTCCCGGTTTTCCAGGTAGCGTGGCAACCCTGTTTATTATGCTGTGATAATAAACTTTTAATTAAAAAGAAATGAACAGTGTAGCTAAAATGTGACAATAAGTTGTACTTCATCAAATGAAATGGCAATCCTCCCCCGTTCTCTGTAGCTGCAGGGCTACCGCATGCATGTGAACTGAAATTTGTGGCTTCTGAATGATAAAGTATTCACACTTTTGTTTCCCACCACAGCTTCTAAGATAGGTTTGCATATACAATGTAGCCTGTGGTGAAATTTTCTAATGCTGATGCTGCCCAGGCAACAGCAGAGAAAGTATTCTACAAAAAAGGAACAAAGTCCTCATGAAAAAAGTGTCCTCACAGTAATTAGTATGTGTATATTTCACCATCAATGAGGTGAATTTGGTTATTTCATCTTCAGTCCAAGAACTTGTTCTAACCAGATAACTACTAATTGCTAATTTTATTGAATTGTATTATGTTGCTTCAAATTTCTAGAAAAAATATTTCCCTTAGTTTTGCAATATAATGCATTGTCATATGGAAGACCAAAAGAAGTAATAATTGAACTTTAAACTAAATGTCTTGTACAACACAAGCTTCGAAACAGAAAACTTGCCTCCAGCATCCTAAAAAGTAGTAACAAATTGCTTTAAATTCAGTGTTAAACTATGGAATATTCTCTCTTTGTAGGTATCATGCAACACCATGCTAGAACGAGAAATTCATCCCATCCCTTGTATATTGTGTGAAAAGGAGAGGAAGGGAAGCCTTCACTTTGTCCATTGTAAATATTCTCTCAGCTGAATGCTGATGCTCTTCAGCATGCATGTTCCTTTTAAGATGAGGATTTACAAAAACACACATAGATAGACACAGCCCACAACTTGTACATTTTAAATTAACGACTCTTAAATCAGTGATTCAGTGCATAGCTACAGACTAAAAGTAGTTAATAAGGATTTTATTATACAATACAGATAAATAATTATTTTTCCTCGGTTCTAAATTTATAGACATGTATCACATACAATGCATGCCCTAAGGTGATGCCACTGCTTATATTGCATAAATAAATTTTTTTTTAAAAGTTAAATATAATGGCAGAAACTCAAATAAATAGCAATTGGTATAATTTCTTTTTCAAAATCTTAGATACTGACAAAATACAATTCCTCACAGATTTGTAAAAATTTTCTTGCCATACACAGCAATATTTTTTTGCATATCTATTAATAAGTACAGATACTTTTAAGGCCATTTCCAAACTGAATATTTCACAGCCCACTCTTTCTGTATATAAATAATGGTGATCACTTGTATACATTATAAAAACTTGTATTAATTTTTAATGATGAGATAATAAAAACAGTTAATTTTCAAAAACTGGAAAAGGTGTTCTCTTGGATTTATTGATGTAATCTTTGTTGTTTTTAATTAAGTTAGGTTTTATTACATAAGAACATTATTTTGATGCTCCTCCTTTCAGATAACTATAAAATACTGACAAACATGTTCTCTCAAAATTAAGCACTTCAGCAACTTCTGAATTCAGAATTGAGCATATTAAGTTAACATATTTGATCAGAATGAAGTCCCATATTTACAAAAATACTAAAACGTTAATTTAAAAAGTACCTGATGCTTCTGTTAAGACAGAGGAAGATTCTGGTGGACTAAATGTTTGAGCAGTTGGCAACGTAAACTTTGTAGTCACTGGAGTTTTCTTTTCAATCATAATCTCTGTAGCACTTTTTGCATTATTAATTTGTAAAGGAATAGACTGTTTATGATCTACATGAACTGCAGTTTGATTAGCCTGTAACATTAATGAACAAAAAATGAATGAATAAATAAATTTTTGACGAATATAGCAAAATATAAAAATAGTACTTTTGAAACAAAACATTTTTCAAAGAAGAAAAATTTTTCACTGAATATTTTTTTTTTTAAACCACAGAATTTGGACATTAGGAAAAAGGGCCTTCTAAACACTACTATCCACCCCTAAATGTAACATTAGGAAAAATAGCACAAAATTAACAGCTGTCACAGAGACATTAATTAATTTTGAACAGAGACATTAATTATCATACAAGATAGACAAATCTTCAAATGCGACAGATATTCACCTAATTAGCTCATTTCTCTGAAGCCTGAATATTTCTTAGAACATCTTTTTCTTTTTTTATCGTCTTGTAAAAGACTGGGCAATCTCCTTCAAAATTTATTTTGGAGATTGACATGCCCTTCAAAGTGTCCACTTTAAACTGTGTCTTACCATTAGTCCACTGCTCATAATGCTAAATACTCACTCAGATGCAGCACTGGTGCCAAGAAGACAATAGAAAAACCCTGGCAATTTTAAAACATTTGAACAAGGAATTTAGTTATTAATAAAATATGCAGTTATTTCCATGTACCTCTGAACTGGACACATTTTATTTCTCGACCATTCAAATATTTTTTCACACATGGTACATTTTTTAAGGTAAACATATTCCTCATATATATCAATTTCCAATAACTTATAGTTTGATATCATTTTATTAATTAACAAAACAGCTGTTTCAAATTGACTCCAAGAAGAGATTTCATTTAATATGATCCAGCTGTACGTTTCCATCTCCTGACTTCGCCCCCCCCTCATTTCTCCAAATAAGTAAGAGTGGTTTGATAAAATGAAACAACAGCTTCTCAAAATTTAATGACTTCATGAGATGACTCTATTCTCTCTTGCTCAGTATTGAAGCTTTCAGACCATCCATTGAAGGTACATCAAATACATACACAGTTTGATTTTCAGTTGTTGTAATAACTTTATGAAATATTGAAGCCTGAATGTTAATAAAATGTAGCCAAGCTTTTGCCATTGGATTTTCAATGAATTTTAAAATAAGCATGGGATACTATTCTTGAGATTGAAATTAAGCCTGCGATGGTAAAATCATTTTACAGTACCCTTTCAATAGCAGGAAGTAACCCTAGCCATCTTGCCTGTGAATATCCTAGAATCATTGAAAATTCAGTTTTTATGAAGCTACTGTAATTTTTCAATGCTTCTACTCTAACCTACTGTTAAATAGAGTCTTTTATAAGATTTAAAGTATAGTTGTCCCAGTCTTTTATAAGATTTAAAGTATATCTTAGAAATAATCATTTCTACATCAAATGGCAAAACATCAGGTGATGCTCTTGTAGTGTTATAGATAATATATGCTGGACATCCGACTCTAATTAAACTATGGTTAAGATTTTGTTTCAGTTTAACAAAAACATTATTTTCTCCATATCTATCAGCTATTCCAGAGTTAGAATTTGTATTAATGGCCCAAAGACCAATAACTTTTTCTTTTAAATTATTTTCTTCAAAACAGGCAGTTAAATACTTCCTGACATCATTGGAGGTTTCACTAGGTCAGGATTTAAATTCTAAAATTTTTAGTCTAAATCCATAACTCCAGTTTATAAATTTAACAAGTATTGGAAAAATTTTATTTCCTTGTAACTAGACAGACACATCAATTAAGATTGTAACAAATGAGCATTTTCCCAAATCATTGTGCAAAGCTCAACATAAGGCATAAAAACATTTAGCATTATTGCTTCAACCTTGGTTTGCACAAAAGTAAATTTAGGCTCAAATGCCACTTGAAGCAGTTCAGATGTACAATCCATAGAACTAAAGCTATAGTAGTGTCAAATAGTAAGGTATGCAAAAGTACCTTCTAATGCAGCTAAATATTCATCTTCATCACCCATTTCTCCTGTTTGAAGTTTATAAATTTAACAAGTATTGGAAAAATTTTATTTCCTTGTAACTAGACAGACACATCAATTAAGATTGAAACAAATGAGCATTTTTCCAAATCATTGTGCAAAGCTCTTAAAACATAAGGCATAAAAGCATTTAGCATTATTGCTTCAACCTTGGTTCGCACAAAAGTAAATTTAGGCTCAAATGCCACTTAAAGCAGTTCAGATGTACAATCCATAGAACTAAAGCTATAGTAGTGGCAAATAGTAAGGTATGCAAAAGTACCTTCTAATGCAGCTAAATATTCATCTTTATCACCCATTTCTCCTGTTTGAAAAAATTCTTTAATGACAAGCCAGATGTAGCAGCAGAATTTGACATTTTATGTTTATTACAGTTTATAGGAAGTTTAATATTTGTATGTTCACCACAGCTTATTGAGAATTTTGAAGAACATGTATTACACCGCACATTGGAATCGCTTACTTTTTTTTTTTTTTTTTTAAATAAATGGGAATTCCTTCTGTGGATCTTTGTTAAATGTTACTTTTTTTTCACCCATTACTAAAAAAAAATTGGTGGTAAAAATAAACAATTAATTACATTAAACTGCAGCAAAATATACCCTTATCATGTATGTAATATACCGCTGATAAATAAAAAATATATGTTTTTGCCAAATGGAAAAGTTACCTGTCATTGTTTCAACAGATTTAAAAAAAAAATAAATAACCCTATGCAAAATCAAAATGATGATGTAGTAAAAATTTTACGATCTAAATGTGAGAAAAGAAAGATAATTTTAAATGGATAATCTATAATGAAATTTCAGCAAATACAAAAAAAAAAAAAAAAAGAATTATTTTGGGATCCGTGTAATAATATGTACTACTGTATATAATGCACTGTTGATAATTAAAAAATATATGTTTACATTATAAATTCAAACCACAATAAAATTAATATAGTAGTTAAAAATTGTAGCACTGTCTGTAAGTGAAAGTCTGAACTGCAACTGTGAGCTGCGAGAAAAAATTCTGTGTAAGTTCAGGGGAAGGGGGGGGGGAAGAAACACATGAAGGAGAAATAGAACTCCCCCACTGCAACTTTTCTAAGGTAAAAGCTAGGTGGAGATTCCCCTGTTTATGCAGCCGGTATGGGATGGGTTTCTTAATTTATATTTGTATTCTCAATTTGCAATCTACACTACTTAAATAAATACATACAAACAAACTTTTACATTTTCACACTACACTAAGACCACGCTTAACGCGGGGGATACGTTCCATCAAAGTAGAGCGTAATGCGAAACAGCGCTAAACGAGGCTATCTTAACATGTAAATAATGGGGTTAGGGGAAGATAGGTAGAAAATTGGTTAATTATTAAATCTTAATAATGTTTTTTCTAAAATAAAAATAAAACCAAACATTCATTTCTTACAAAAATAAAACAATATAAACGAATATACTTATAAAAACAAATAAAATTCTAAGTCAGTCAGATCATTCAGTCTATTCTGTGTTGCAAATTTTCTGATTTTTTGTCAAGAAGGCATTATGATAGTTTGGCTTAATGGCATATTGCGCTCAATTTCGTCATCAATCCATACAGACAGTCGTTTTCCCATTTCCTCTATAATGTTATTTCTAGAACAGTTAATTCTAGTTGCAGAGCTTGACGTAGCTGCAGTTGCCGATGACAGTATTTTTTCTTTAATCTTAAGAATTGTCCTTATTGTTGAAGTTGCCAAAATCAAATGCAGCACTAATTTGAGATTGACGTTCACCAGAATCTAATCTTCTAATCATTTGCATTTTAGTTTCCAGTGAAATGCTTTATCTGGTTGCTTTCTTTTCTTATTTTTTATTATAACCCATGATAAAACCTAAAGATCATAATATTTGTCACTGTATTAATCGTTACAGTATTATATAAATTTATGCTTACAATAAGGTCAACAAATGTTTCAAATGATAAAAATGTGTCCGTAATGCACCGTACCAAGCAAGAAACGTAACTACACTGTTTCGGATATGTTATTTGGAAACCTAGCGATGCGCACAATTTCGGGGAATCCCCGTAGTGCTGCGAGCAATTTCGAGGAATCCCCGGGTTGAAAAAAAAAGAGTGCTAAACTGAAACAGCGCTAAACGAAACAGCGTTAAGCGGGGTCTTACTGTACTGTTTTTCCGGACAAATGCTATAAGTTCTGAACCAAAAAATGAGTTGTAAGAAATTGGAATAGGAACTGAAAATTTGAGACTGTCCTGGAAATTCAGGATGTATGGGCACCTTACTTTAACATTTATGAGTCATCTATGTGATAAAACACAGAACATATAGTAGGTATCGGATTTTGCTGCATGCTCTCATTCAGTTAAGCTTATGAGATGATAATACTTATTATAATTTTAAAAAATCACAATGTTACAGAGATGCTTCTAGAAGACCTTAAAGTTTTTCCTTTGGTTTACAAACAAACTGACTTATCATTTTTAACACAAAGAGCCAATCAGTATAGCCTTTTAATCTTGCATGCTTTGCCATTCAAATATTGAAATGAGATTGGGGATTCTATCTTAAAATATACTTTTCCTATTCCAAACCTGAGCATAAAGACAGTAAGTGAGGCTCTTTCATTAGCACCTTTTAGTCCAAATTTACAAGGGCAAATCTCAACAAGCATAGTACTCATAACATATAATAGAAATATAATTAAATATAATATAAATTTGTCTATAACAATATTCATATCATAGCAATGCATTCTGTAATTAATTTATATGTAATTATGAATAATAAATAATTATTGTGCTTTAAATTTCTGGAAACTGATTCAAAGAAAACAGATGTTGCCATTTTCATCAATCTCTCTTTGTGAGAGAATTAGATTTAATATCTTAATCACCTTAATTTCATTTAAAATTGCTTTTATTTTGCCTTTTCACTTTCCACTTCACCGAAAACAGGTGCATTGTATACTGTCTAGAACTATTACTGTCTAAACTACTGTATACTGTTTACAACAATCTGGAATAAAAAAGAGTACATACAGACCTTCTTTTTGGATTTGTAGAAATTTTTAAATGCCTGCAATTTCAATTTTGCAAATTTACCCTACATGTCAACATAATTTTTGCAAGTGTGACCTATTTTAAAAAGCAAATTTTGAAATGCATTTTTAATTTTTACCAAAGTGTGTTTAAGTAGTTACAATATTCAATAATTTTTAGCACATCCCATTTTTTTCTTATATCTGTTAGTAGATTGACTGTTATGCTTTTGCATATGATATACTCATTGAGTATTGCAAAATCAGCCCTTACCAGAATTATGTAACCTAGTTTTCATACCCAACATTATGTTCATAACCATTAATAATGACAAGTTCATAAGCACTAAAAATGACAAGTTAAGGACTGAAATATTTATTTAGAATATTTCATCACAAGATTTCACCTTCTTCACTGCTTTTTTATGAATGGAAGGTGATTAATAGAAAATTTATCAACACATTTTAAAAAGATTTCAACACATTATGTTCTTTCTACAGCCATTCAATTAATGTTGACATTCAGGATAACACCATATCTTCGATTCTTTACACACAGTGACTGTATACATATATCCAAAACTTAAAAGCAAGCAGTATTTCTACATGTATAAAGAAAACTGTAAATGAAGGCAGATAAATATAGCCAAGTTATTCATTTTCTAATATCTAACACAAGATAATAATTAACAACATGTCAGATGTAATAAAAGTAACAATAGAAAATCTTATGGCAAAAAGTTACATACAGGATTTGATGACAGATGAAGAATAATTGAACTGTTGCTAGCAATACCCATGCCATTTACTTCCTCAAGCTCATGCCATCACATCCGTCTCAAGATGTGGAGCAGAGATCTCAATATATGGATCAATTCTATAGATTTATTCCATCTTATAGATTTCCAAACAATTTAGTAGTCCCCAGGCCAGATTGTTCTACTTCTCCTTTATAGCATAAATTAATCCCTTGAAAAGAACAGCTTGCTACAAATCATTTTTACTTAATGTTCCATACATGCTTAGTGAGATGGGGTAAGGGCTGGGAGGCACGGCAATTAACAAATCAATATATATTTTTATTCTTCAGATACTACACCGCTTTGGTTTGATGAAATGAAGCAAAATCCATAAATAGAATTGCTTCACATGTGGCACCATGAAAGAAGCAAACCACATTCAATAACTAGCAGCTTCTCATCATAATCCCTTAATCCATCCATTCAACACAATACCATACATCACTCCCAACATTACTTCTTCCTGTATACTTCATGGCACTATACTTCCTGCACTGCTATACTTCATGGCAAATCAGTGTGGAGGCAGAATCTGACTGTAGACTGAAATTAATGTAAAAGAATAAACATTGGACCACTGCTATATCATTCGATTTTTGTCTTCAAATGTGCTCTATGGATAGAGTCACATAATCACTCTTGAAGAATACAAACCTATGCAAAGCTAATATCAAGCCAAAGTTTTCTGGAATATCTTTGTTTCTATGCTGCAATAAATGTGATTTAAGAGCTGGACGGTTGCTAGCTTTGACTGCATTTAGCTTTTACTCCAAAATATCAGCCTTTGGATAGTCACAGAGATAACACATTATATAATTCTGAACTCTGTTGCAAGTTTGAAGATTGTAAGGCCTCCTAATTTTCCTGTAATGCTTTCATGCTTAAAATCGAAATGATATTGTTGAATATCAATGAACACTTAACATTTGTAGAATTAGTCTTTCATGCTCAGAATTTCTGAAAAATTTATATTGCCAGTACAGTTATACTTTTTTTAAAACTATTTTTCACATTAAAGTATATATGATAAACAGTACACTCAAGACACTCAACACTCTTTTAACAATAACAGGTATAATAATACTAAGCTTAAAACTTTAATTTAAGCTAGATAGCTTTACAATTTTTCGTAGTGATCTAAACACATTTAATATTACTTTCTACTCAAGATATATTTCATATAGACATAGACGTAAAATGTGATACATTTTGATAACAATATACCAATTGTACTACACTATAATATGGTCATTCATTAAGTACATTAGATGATGATAAAAATATAATGTTACATCACACATTTAAGATAATTATGAAAAAATACACATTGGTCTCTGGTTCAGTAATTTTGTTAATAAAATAGCAATATATTTAACTGAAATGGAAATAAAGAACAAAAAATAAAACAGAATACAGCAAACTTCAATATAATCTGATAAGGCATAAAAGCAGCAAGTTGATTTACCTTGGCTTCTTCAACAGGTGTTTGTTCTACTTTAGCATGTTCACTATACAACACAGATTTTGACATCAACCTTGATTGAGATGGGGAATCTGAAAATTGATTTATATAATTAGAATTCAATTTTATTTAATTTCAGTTATAGTTTATACAGTTTTTCATTTTACAATAACTCTAAAAAAAATCAAGATGTGTTACAAAACAACTTTTTTACATGTAAACCAAGGGACACAGGAACATCAGTTAAAGTTACTGTAGATTAGATTGCTGTAAATGCAATTTCTCCAGTGGATGCCATATGCAGGATGGCTGTTTAATAGTTTACAAGCAAAGAATTAATGTAAATATTTGTTTTTTCAGAATGACAGCATATGCTTTAACTGACTCTGATAGGTTGCATCACGGATCTGTAATAAGATCATACAAGAATTTTATCTTCCCAGGTACATAGCGTGAAACCCCAGGTACAAGTATTTATTGTAAGCACTTCCCCGTATGAAACTAGAAAAATGGGTTATTCACTATCAAAAAAGTAATATCGAATAGATAGGATATGGTGCATATAATTACTGCAAATTTCAGACTGGGCAAAGCATAAAGACCCTTTATATCCCAATGAATGTCACAGTGTTATGAAGACAATAAATGATTTGGGTACAAAGATGCAGTAGTCAGCCAAGGTTATTCAATACACTAAAGGTTAGGTCAGGAACAAAAAACACTGCCACTGGTTGCTGGGAGTGATGTCCTTCAAATGACATGACACATTAGCTGAGGAATCCGCTAGATGATTTCTACGCAGTAAATATAAAAACACATTGGAAATACAGGATAAATACTTTTCGATTATGGTTTTTATTTTTTTTTAAAGCAGATGTTTATTTTAAATTCAAAATTCATAGGAATGCTAAAATAATTGTAGACATTATCCTCTTTTCCTAAAGAAAAACATTAGACTACGAAAAAAGATATTTCTGTTTATTAAGGAAACTAAACATTGTAAAGAGGACAGCATTTTTCGTTATTTTTAAATCACATCATATGCATTTCATGTAAATAACTCTTGTTAAACAGAACACTTGAAAACAGAGCTGCAAATCTACGGTAATAACATAATTAAAAAGTATTTTTCTGTTTTTTCATAAAACATGCATTTTTTTTTTACATAAACTAATTTTAACATTTCATGAGAAACATATGATCATGACTTTAATTTTCAGTTACACAGCTCAAGGAAAATTTTATATAAAAAGTTTTGAATCATCAAGTTCATATGTAATCCATATAAATTCTACATACGTAATTTCCGGAAGAAACGCCACGGCGTTTATGTGTTTAAAACTTAAATTTTCAATGGGTGCAGCGTTTCTACACATGCAGTGTTTAGGTATTTCCTATGATGGTCATTGTACATAGTTTGGATGGCCTTGTCATTGTACATAGACTGGTGCTGTTCCCACACAAAAGACCACTCAGTTGCTTTTTGCGAACGTTATTTTGTTTACGTTCTTTCCCTTGAACGGACCTACATGCCTTATTCACCCTAAACGAGATCTCAGAACAATAACATTCTTCCCCCTTTCAAATCAACATTCTCATCAGTTTGAATAGTCTCTCTCCTCTGCCATTCGATGAATCTTCCAGGACCCATCCTCTTTCCACCCCTGCCTTTTCTGCAATTTTTTTCAAAGGCGGACACGACTCCACCTGTGCAATAACAAACTCTGACCTATTTCCCCTTCAGCATGAATCGATTTTTCTTGGCATTCTGCCAGATACAGATCCCATCAGTTTGGGTACAAGTACTTGTTGGACAGTTTTTAAGTAAGAAGGGAGCGGAAATTTTTGAAAAAAGCTTTCAGAAAAATTTTTAGCAGAACAGAAGCTATACTGCTGGTTTTAAGCTTAATGTCATTTCACGTGCTGAACAAATTGGAAATAGAGCATTAGCTCGAGAGTTTGAAGTGGACGAGCGATGTATTCGACGTTGGAGAACTGAAAAAGAAGAACTTCAAAATATGCCACAACAGAAACGAGCCAAAAGAAGTGGTACTGTAAGGTGGCCGAATCTAGATGACGACCTTGCAAACTGGATAAAGGAGCAACGGGGAAAGAGAATGGCAATTTCGACTGTAAAAATTCGCTTACAAGCAAAATTTATAGCAAAACAAATGAACATAAATGATTTCAAAGAAGGGCCTAGCTGGTGTAGCAGATTTATGAAAAATATTTCTGTTTGTACTAGAACAACAGTTGGGCAACAATTACCAATGGACTGGCAGGATAAAAAGACATCTTTTCTAAAATATGTGACAGATATTGATGACAAAAAAAAAAAACTTCTTCAGTCACAGATAATACATATGGATGAAATGCCGTTAGCTTTTGACTCTCCTACAAGCAGAACTGTTGATGAAACTGGTGCAAAAACTGTATCTGTGCTTACGACAGTGCATGAAAGAATGTCATTTACATGTGTGTTAGCTTGTGCCGCAAACGGTGACAAGCTAAAGCCGATGATCATTTTTAAACAAAAGACTATTCCAAAGGGAGATTTTTCCTAATGACGTAATTATTTGTGCAACCGAGAATGGCTGGATGTGCAAAACAATCATGCATGAGTGGCTAAAAAAATTGGCAGTGTCGTAGGGGATCTTTTTTCCAACCAAAAGGGTTATTGATAATGGATTCCATGCGTGCTCATTTACTTGAGTCAGTGAAAACCAGATGCGAAAAATTGTCTACGACCGTAGCAGTAATTCCTGGTGGTTTGACAAAAATCTTACAACTATCAGATTTTTCAGGTAATAAATCCTTCAAAGCTGAAGTCCGAAAGCGGTGGGAGTGTTGGATGAGTGAAGGATTGCATACGTATACCAAAAGCTCTAAAATATGTAGAGCATCTTATGAAGAAGTTGCAAAGTGGGTAGGAAGAGCGTGGAAATCGGTAGAAACATCGTCAATAATAGCAGGGTGAAAAGAAGCTGAAATTATCTCCTTAGATAAAGAGACTGTAAACCAAGAAGATGATGACGATTTGGAGGACTTGGACTTAGATCAGGATTTACTAAATCTTTTTAATTCAGATAGTGAAGAATCAGATTTAGATGGCTTCATATGATGTATAGTTTGCTGTAATTCCTTTTGTAAGTAAAATTTAAAATTTCCTTTTGTCATCCAAATTTAAAATTTCGTTGTTGCAAATTTTTTTTATAATATAGTCTGAGTATTACAAATATGGACTTCTTTAGCGGGTAAATATAAGTATATACATGAACGTAAATATATTTTCAACATGTCTTAACCTTTAATTTATTTTTGAGTTATGGTTTCATTTCATGCATTTTTCTTAACTGATATGTCATATATCAGGACATAAAATTAAGATTTTGCATCTATACAACACATAATGATGTCACGCCCAATTTAATCTATTGCAGCGTTTATGCTGATGTAGTGTTTCTGTGTAATTTAAATTTTTTTCCCGCCATTTTTCTCGAGTGTGCCGTTTACACTGATGCGATTCTTTCTTTCTTTAGTGGCAACAATTTGAAAAGTGATACAACCTCCTAAAGTTTTCCAATGCAAAATGCCAAAACAAAATTAATAACCCTTTTCGGCCAACACACTTTGGGGTAAAAAAAAAATCTGATGTGTGCACCACATCACTTCCTTGTACAGAATATTAAATTAATACGCATTTTTTCTTGTATTTCATTTAAACTTATTGGATTGAATTAAATCTACTTCCTCGAGAGAGCATAAATCACAATAGAATAAATGCACTTTTAAAAATTCACTATATTTGTTTACCATTAAATCTACATCGTCGATAGCGCATAAACCACAATAGAATAAATGCACTCTTTAAAAATTCACTATATTTGTTTACCGTAGTGACACTCTGGCCCTAGGTTCACTTAACAGCACTACATTTCAATCATTTTTTAACTCAGAATGCACAAAATTTATATCATCTTAAGAATTATCTAATCGTTGCCACATGTTCTATTCAAATACTATAATAAATCTAAAATTATGTATAAAAAAATTAAGCAAAGAAAAAAAAATGTTTTTCACAGACAATTCAGTATTTCTCATTCAATTAATTCAGTTCTCACTTTGCGACAAGGCAAAAATACATAAAAACTCAAAATGTCTGTATTAAAAGTAAAAACAATGATTTGTTCATTTCAGACTTCCACAAGTTTTCACATATTTTTTCATGATTATTTAAAAGAACTATGTTTTGTATGTTTAAAGTGTAAAGATTTGTCTATGGCATTTATCTTCACATGATTATTTATTACAGTGTATAGTCTTTGATATTTAGACACTATTCATCCTTTCATATACAAAAAAAATTAACTCTCACAATAGATTAATACACAAACACACACACACAAATAAATATATTAAATAACAAAAAATTGAAAACTTTTGCTGATTTTAATCCTTATTCAACTTGCATACATATTAAATAAATTTAATTTCTTTTGTATTTCTGTCAGACTGATTCTTAAAAATATTTTTGTTGTATTTCAAAATAATGTTCAGTATTTAAATATACTTTTCTTATAATTTTTCTAAGGTAGTTGTACATCTTCAAGATACTGCTCTCAGTGTTGTAGATTTCCCAATGTCATCTTCATTTCTCTTAACAAATTTTTTATTTGAGATCGGTAAACTTACTTTGATCACCTGTAAAAATTGTTCCTAAATTTTTTTTAACCTCATTATGCACTTGCTTCTTTGTTATTTTCCTTCTCATTTTCTGAAAGTTAGATAATTTACTACAAGAAGGAGCAAGCTCATTATATTTTCTCTTTTATTTTTAGTTGACAATACAACATATTTATTTGTTTGTTATTTTCCTCCTCATTTTCTGAAAGTTAGATAATTTACTACAAGAAGCAAGCTCATTATATCTTTTCCTTCATTTTTATTATTTTTTCAGTATTATTTGACAATATAGCATATTTACAACAATAGAACTCTTATTTTCCTTTTTCTAAAATTTTCACATGTTGAGCTAATTCATATGTCTCATTGGTAGTAAACTGATTTGCAAAATCTATGTTATCTAGATCAGGTAAAGTGAAGCCCAATTTTGCAAAGCTTGTTACATTATTTCAGGAACATAAAACTGATTGCTCTAACCCTTAAGCACAGAGTTTGATGAATCGCTAAAATTGCTGGAAATGTTTCTTTTTAGACTGCCCTCAGTTTTTTTGGAGAACAACATATATAATTTACTCATTTTTTTAAATTACTTTCACATGATGGTGGAGGAAGATATGAAGTGGGAACAGAATTAGCTTTCAATACCCTTGTAAAGTTAAGACAAACAATTCTACTTTTAAATCCCATATACAATGTAAAATAAAGAGGACATGTTCTTGAATTTTTTATATTGAAATTATCTGCAATACCTACTTGGTAAACAATGATATGTCATGCCCCAACTCTTAACCTTCTTTTAATAACACTGGCACAATGTTACAGCACAATATACCATTTCCAACACAGTATAATATGAAACTGAACTTACGCGTATAAATCAATTCAAATTATGAAGGCAACAAGTGTAAACAAATGCTCAGCACTAACAACTGTCACCCACATAATGTCATGTACACATGGCCTAATTTTCTCCCTAAACTACATATCACTTGTGGGACATCTCTGGTAGTCAATAAGTAAAATGAAGGGAGGAAGCATGATTTGACTACTAAAAGTCCTCTTTGTTACGCATTGGAAAGTGCATTAGTATTTGGCATGGATTCCAAGAAGCTACAAATCATTCCTATTTACAAGGTACTCTTCAGGATAAAGGATGATGTAAGGTATGGGGTAAGGCATGTTCTGAAATGGCATAAAACATATTCATGTGGTCTAAAATAAGTCCTCTCATGTGTCTGAAATACCTGCTCACATACAATTTGCAGAGATATTAAAGCAGATCATATTTATGTACCTCAATCCCAAGAGACAGTAAAAGAATATTTCAACAAGATCATGTCACCAGTTTTTGACATTACAGTGTAGATAAAACAGCATTCTGCTGACCATATCAACATAATTTGACCAAAAAATCCAACATTATCCAATGCAACATAATTTATAGATGTACTCTACAAAATAGTACCAGCAGTTTTTTTAATACATGCCTCAGCACAAAGCTCAATATGTTTCAAGGAAGCTCAATCTGTTTTTAAGTTCTTAATTTGCATCTTATGGCCTCTCAGTTTATAAATAAAATGTCTTCTCTAACAGCAAAAATCTGAAATTTATAATTCTTCAAATTATTTTTTACTTGATAACTGATTTGTTTTACTAAATTAAAATTTATAAATGCATTTTAATATAAGCAGTAATTTTCAATTTCACAAGTATTAGTATATTATAGATAATTTTCATTAAATATTATAAACAAAGCCAAACAAATTATTTACTGATAATAAATATCTTTAAAATAGATATCAAAATATAGAAATGTTACTTACATACAATAGTTGGTCTCACTACAGTAATACTAGAATTTGAAAGAAATTCCTTTAGAAGATTTTGCTGTTTAGGAGAAAACTTTTTAGCAATTTTTTTACTTTCATCCTCGGTTGAAATCTGAGCTTTCAAAAATGCATCAGCTAACTGTGAAAGTTCTCCTCGATCTAATCTGAGAGAAATAACATAATTAATTTCAAAATTTGTAGTTAAAACTAAACAGTTAATCCATTACCAAAACTAATATTTCCTTACTTTGCTCTTACAAAACATTATGTTATCGACACGTTATACAACAAAAAAGAAGGCTCTTCGAAAGGAAAAGATTATTCTATTAAATGTGATGTTGACTGATAAAGAAATAAAAAAAAATTAAATATAAGTAGTTGTAAAAGCTGAAGGGAGACATTTCTTTTTCAAAATAAGAAATGTTTGTCATCAAATAAATGAGAACTCTATTCCTAGATAAGATATTTCTGGATTTCTATGATAAAATTCTGAGGAATTTTTCTGACTATATCCATCAGCTAAAAGGCACATTTCTGTTCATATACAATTGAGGTTCACAAATTTTGAAATTAATAGTTTAATATACATAAGCTTTGCAGCAATACAGTTAAATGCATTTATTTATTCATGAGTCTCACTAATTACTTTTAAATAAAACTATATTACTACAACTTAAGTTAATATGCTCATTAAGTAAATACTATTAAAATTATTTTACACAAATTAAATCAAGGTTTGTATACATTTTCTTAAATGGAAATTAACCCTCTAAGGGGCAAGGCCGTATATATATATATATATACATGCATATTAAAATATGTCAAAGAAATTAAGGCAATATATCAAAAGAAAACAAATCCAGTATGAAATACCAGGAGAGTTTTTACATTAAAAATAAAAAAATTAAAAAAAATTTGTTCTCATAGTAATTTTGGGAAATTTGTGCTTTCTTAGCAAAAACCCTGGCCACTCAGAGTGTTAAGGACTTAAGAATCTTTAATAACTATCAAAGTAAAAAATTAAGGACACATCAGCAATAAGAACTGAATAAATTAAAGCAATTATCTATGCACCGCCTTCTCCTACAGTATTATTTCTAAATAAAACATAAGTACATACTATGCATCATTATTATTAAACACGCTCTAATATTTAACATGAAATAAGTTTAATAAAAAAAATTTTGTGAATAAAAACAGCTCTCAAAGTTTTGTTGTATTGGGTTTCACCTTCACAACACTAAAACATGCAAAATTAGTGCACCCTTTTTCCATACCTTACTTTATAATTTTTTTAATTCATTTATTTTTATCAAAAACAAGCAATTCTGCATTTTGAAAATATGTCAGATATGATAAAAAAAAAGATCTTGCGCAAATTTCATATTCTTAGCTGCAAAATCATTCAAGTTACATGAGTTTTTACAATTTTTCCTTTAAGATAAGGAATAGTACAACATATTTTAAAGAATATTTACACATCATTATTAAAAGTTTCTTTTATTTTTGAAAAATACTCATCAAAAACATCACTACTGAAATCTCAATCAAATACATATATAATATGTAAGTTTAAAAAAAATGTTACAAAAACATTACATTACAAGATGGAGAATATCTATAATACTACAAAATACTTATGTCATTTTAACTTGATAATTTTTTTTAAAATTTAGTTCCATTATTTACTTTTTGAAGTTCATTTACTCCAATAAATGAATCAATGTTCTTCCTAGTTTTTGAACCCTCTTTTGAAGTATTTGTTAATATCATCATCAACATTCGTTTGAAGGCAAAAATTCCTTTAGCTTCATGTAAACAAATTTTTCCTCTATAATTTTTTTCATCTTTGAATTTTCTTATTTCAACTTCCCCCCCCCCTAAAAAACTACATGCATCAAGAGTGCACTGATGTTACTTAATCTTATTTCTTTAGTCATTTTAGTGTTGAGAATAATTCTATGAAATTATATACTATGCATTCATATATATAAGAAAAATCTTTTAAATTGTCAGTGTTTAATATCTTAATTAAAAGAGAAATTCCTTTCGATTTCCATACTGTTGATAGGAAAAAATTACAAAAATAGAGTAGAAAATAAAGGAATCAAGGCACTGTATCAAGAATAGAAAAGGTATTTCTTTACTACAGTCAAAAGTCGTTAATTCGGACACCCATAATCCGGAATGATCTATAATCCGAACCTCGAAGCTACAAACTTTCTGCGCATGCGTCACGTTGACGCATGCGCATAGGCGTTTACGCGTGCGCGTAAGACCTTTGTTGGAAAATATGACCTATTCTAACCCTTTTTCTACAACATCTCTCCTCCTTGAAATAATTCTAATTTTTACATAAGGCTTAGTTCTTATTTTAAAGGGATATAGTAGTTACTTCTACTTTGTTTTTCACTGCCACTGTTTGTATTAAGAACAGACTGTTCCAGCCTAATTAAGATGCAAAAACGAAACTTGATGTTACGTCATCTGGAAAGCCGAGTCGTCCCGATAGCTGATTGGTTGCCGTGTGATGACGTCATGTCTACTTCACGTATAAGTATCTCGCGTCGCTCTGGCTCATTCCTTCTGGTTCCTGTTTGTTTGCTCCTTGGTGTGCCGTTCCAGCCCCCATTGGAAGACGAGGTTGCGATGCATGCCAGCCAGCGACTAGTGCCATGATTCTGTTCCGAAAGATGACTTTTTCTGGATCCTGAGAAGTGGCGGCAATGTGAGCGACTGCCGTGGGCAGCATCCTGTCTTCATGAAGGCGGCGTCTTCAACACAGGTGTTTTTTCGGGATTAGCGGCAGTGGTGTAAGTAAGGGTATGCAAAGAGTGCCGTCGCATAGGGGCCCTTGAATGTTTTGCTGAACTATATTCACATGATTAAACTTCAAAAAAAATATGCATTCTTTTATAAATACTATGACCAAGGGCAAGGTGCCCCCATAAAAGCTGAATTCAGTGTTACATATACCAAAATGTCAGGTATCATATTTCAACGGAAATATCCATTTTGACCGTTCTCAAATCCATTTATACGGTTTATTTTCGTGACATTTGTACGTGCGGACAGAATAAAGGGCTCTTCCTTTCAAAAAAGGATTGTAAAATGGGTTTAAAACGGATTCAAAAGGGATTTTTTTTCATGATATTTGTACGTTCGCATATACATGCATACGTATGTGTACAGAAAAACAGAGATATATATCTCGCATAACTCAAAGATGATTAGCCGTAGAACGTTGAAATCTTGTATATGGGAGTGCTATAATAGTTAGTTGTGCACTTCACTTTTTTATTGCAATTGGCAGAATATATATCCACCCACTTATCCGTCTTAAAAGTACTGTGAATTTAATAGGGTGCCCAAAAATTTGTTTGCATAAGGGCCCAAGAGTTCTAGTTACGCCACTGATTAGCAATGATGTTGCACAGGCTGTGATTTCTCGCATGTAACTACAGTGAGCGGCGTTTTACCGGTTCAAGTGCTCTCAAGGATTTAATTTAAATTTTTCCAGGTGCCTTCTTGACCACGAAGCATGGACTTAATGATAGTGAAGCAAATTTTATTAAAACCGTAGTTTCTGTTTAGTGATATGTTTTTCACATATTGAATGCCAGTATTTGAAGATCAGGTAAAATATTTACTGTGACTTTAATAGTGTAACATTCTTTAAAGGAAAAACCCTTGGGGTTAATTGATTATCAACTAAGTGTAATTTTGATAATGATTATGTTATACTCTTTAAGTTTCTGATATTGATTAAATTTATTCATTGTGTTTTTATTTTTATATATTGTTAATAAATTGGTTAAGTTTAAAACTTTTGTCTTCAATGTCTGCACAGTAACATAACCTTAGGGAGCTTCTATTGCTACTTTTGCTAAAAGTTTAATTTTACAACTTTAAACTTTGCTTTTGCATCATTTTGGTTATGGGCCTAGCCCCTGAGTTATCTTTAGTGCAGACTTTTGAAGTTTAAAATTAATTTAGGACTTAAGAGACTGGGGGGGGGTTTTGTTGAAATTCAAATATGGCTACTGTTAATGTTATGCATAGTATTGCTAAACTTGATGCATGTAATTATTTTACATGGTCTAAAGACATGAAGTTTGTCTTAAATGAGAAAAATGCATGGCTTTTGGTTAAAGGTATTGAAAAATGTCCTGATTTAAATGATGTTAAGGGTATTACAAAAGAAATGTTGCCGACTATCAAAATAGAAGTCATTTGGCATTATCATTGATTTACATGATTGTAAGCCCTGAATATAGAAGCTTAATATGTGAAACTGATGATCTGGTAGTTGCATGGAATATGCTTGCCAAATTTTTTCAGCCAGATTATCGATCTAGACATATGTCCTTGTTTTCAGAGTTCTTAAATTGCAAAATTAAGCCAAATGTAAGTATTAGTTTCTTTTCTTCTAGATTAAAACGGATAACTGAACAATTGGCTGATATTAATCAGGCTGTAAGAGATGTATATATATGTTTTCAGTTTCTTAGGTTTCTTCCAGAAAAATATGATCAGGTAGTTCAGAATGTTTTGAGGTGGCCAGATGAAAAGTTCATAGTTAAAAATGTTGAACTCGAAATACTAGCAGAGGAAACGCGTCTTAATTTAAGGGAGATAGATAGGAAAAATTCCAATAAGACTATAGAAGTTCAAAGTACTCAATTTGAACCCAAATTTAAGCAGATTAAAGGGGTCAAGTGTTATAAATGTGGTCGTCCAGGTCATATTCAAAAGTACTGTAGAACAAAAGGTAATTTTTCCAGATCACCCTCGTCTGCTTCTTCTGTTTCCTCAGCTGTATCTAGTAGTAATAAAACATCCCCTAAGTGTAAGAATAAACCCAAGTTGTGTAAAGGTAAAAATAATTCCCATGCTCAGTCCCATTTCATAGCTCAAGCTAATGTTAACAATTTGGAGGAAAATGATGATAGTTGGATTTTTGATACTGCTGCATCTCATCATTTTTCTAAAAATCGTGAATTGTATGATACTTTTTCTCCTGTGAAGAATGAGAATATGCTAGTAGCTGTTGATGGGGCAACTTTTCCAATTCATGGGAAAGGTACTGTTAAAATGAAATTTGGGGATATAATTATTTTGTTTAAAGATGTTTTATACTCACCTGAACTGAGACGAAATTTAA